ACCGAGCATCTCGCCAGGAATCCATTCAGAAAAATCTGCTTACAGTTGCTTAAACTCATTTAAATCAGGCCACACACGTTTACATTGGCCAAAGTGAACCGTCCAGTCACGTGCCAAAGTGTGAGCGCCCTTGGTCAAATTACACCCATCAGGCACAACATTATGACCACCTCCTTGTTTCTACGCTAATTGTCCATTTTATCAGCTCCACTTACTATATAGGTGCACTTTGTAGTTCTACAGTTACAGACTGTAGTCTATCTGTTTCTCTGATACTTTGTTAGCCCCCTTTTACCCTGTTCTTCAGTGGTCAGGACCCCCATGGACCCTTACAGAGCAGGTACTATTTGGGTGGTGGATCATTCTCAGCACTGTAGTGACACTGACGTGGTGGTGGTGTGTTAGTGTGTGTTGTGCTGGTACGAGTGGATCAGACACGGCAGTGCTGCTGGAGTAATTATTATTGTTATCGTTTTATCACCCAGCCCATTTAAGAGCGATAAATATCGCCATATGCCATCTGATACAGAAAGATTATTATTGCCACATGATGCAATGTGCCATGTGGTTAAAAATTAATGAAACCTTGACAAAACAAGGTTAAAGACTGGCCTGCACTGAACAAAAATACCTAAAATTATCAGGTTGCTTAAATCCCACCTGTTCAGTGGGCTCATTTGCATACTGCAGACAAACCGCAAAACTGCAATAGTCAACACTGCAACAACGATTAACAAACGCTATATTGCGCGACTCAACAAAATCCCATTTGTGTCCAAGTGCAGAGCAGTAAACCACTTAAAATCCACTGACCGTGTAATGCAGTCAGAGACTGGACGTTATCTCTGAAACAAAAGACCTGCGATAGTGGAGGAAAATTAGATTAAGCTTGATTAGTCTTTGTCTCATGGGAGCAAAAATCTTTGCAGCTCACAGCAGGAGCGCCGGCCTCTAAAACTGACCTGCCGCCTCATAGAGACGCTGATATTGATGTCGTGCTGAGAGGAGGGCAAGAGGTCAAGCAAATATTATGACACTCTGTGATGTTCCTTTAATGCTTACTAAGCAATGTACCGCACAGTGACATTGAAGAAGGGAAGAGTCGCAAGGCAGGGATCCAACTCGGGAGTCACTCATTTTACTCAGCCCACAGAGTATTAACACTTACTATTTAAAAATAATAATAAAAATATACATATATTACTTTGTGGAATGTGTGTAAATACATGTATTTGTTCATATGACACCTACACATGAATGCACTGCTACACTGAGCCTACAAAATCTGGAAATTCATCATTTATTCATTAGTAAATGACCCACAAAGGACACGTTATGTATTTTAGTGCTCTACAGCCTGTGGAGAATGAATGAACACAGGCCGTCAAAAGTTTGCCTTCTTTCAGCACTGTTTGATTTGCACAACTAGTAAGATAAATACCTGGAAAGCTTCAGTGATCATGAAGCAGCTCTACTGCCTTCAGTTTATTTATCTTCACTCAGTTTCATGTTTATCAAAGTGTCTTCCTTCATACGAAGAGCAGGATTTGCATAAATAATGATTTGACAGTCTTCATATACGCAAAATGGCTGTGTATGTGTTGCAGACATGACCCCTGGTTCCATTAACCACCACTGTAAAGAGTCCCTACGATCAACCATCACACCAGACCACTCTGAATAGCCACACTTACATGCAGCCTGATAATCTGTTAATAATCTGACTAGTAGCTCAATCTGAATAGAATACGTACACGTAAACACCTCAGTTGGAATAGACTAACCCAAATGAGGCCATTCGGAATACAATTTCTATTCAATTGATCGAGGTGGGTAATCCTGTAAATAATCCATTAAATAGAAGAATAATATCCGTGTAAACGCCTGTATCTGATTACATTCCCTATCGGAAAGTTTAAGTCCGTTCTGATCATGTTCGTCGCGTCATAGTGAGAGTTTATACCGCTCAACATGGCGGAGCAGAAACTGGTCTGCAGAGGAGACGAAGTTTATGCTCTGATCTTTAAAAGACGGCGGCGGGACGGACGTCCAGCTTATGTGTCTCAGAACACGACGTCTTCCTCTCGGCCTTCTTTAATAAGGACATGTGAAGGACGTTTTCCTGAGTCTGACATCATTTTAAAGTAATTAAAAACACAAGCGCTGCTCACTGCTGCTCATCTCACTCTGACTGGACTCACGTGACACTGGTTGTCATGGTAACGTCTACACTAAGCGGTTCTCTACGTATGCGCATAATTTTGGATTCGGATTACTTGTAGTGAGCATGTAAACGGAGATTGAGAATAAACACCTTAGTCTGAATCTATAATCAGAATGTATTCAATTGGATCGCCAAAAATCTTTGCATGTAAACACAGACAGTGACTCTGTTCACATCTCATACTCTCAGTTATACAGAAAAAGCAAGACATGCCTCTTGCTTTACAGTCACTACAGTAATGCAGTCTGTAAATGTACTGATTTAGCACTAGTTTGCTGTTCACCTTCAGTTAACAGGCAATTGACTGACAAAAGCTTCTGTAATGCAAAGCAGGAATCAATGTTTAAGTGGATCACCAGCTCACTCAGCAGAACCTGCCGCACTGCTTCGGGGACGACTGTATTGGGATCGACAAGTCTGAACCTCGAACCCACAGCTGTCGCTCACAGCGGTATGCCGAACCCTGTGACGCTCCTGCTTTCTCCCCGTCAGGTATCCAGATGGTTCCGCAGGTTTTTCTCCCCCTCAGTCACCCATAAAACCTTCAATGAGACACGAGCACTCGGCTGCACACTTCAAAGGGAGCTGCTAAGACGAGCTTAGCAGTTTGGCAGTCCGTTATCTTGACAGAAATCGCTGTTTGGTGTGGTAATGTCAAGAGCCAGCTGACTTCAGTGCTCTTGGCTGCGAGATAACGTCTAAAAGAATTTACACCCCAAACATCACGTTGATCCCTGCACATTTAAGAGGGATCTACATAATGTGATGGAATAAACCTCCTGATCCTCAGCAGGGATGTGCTGCTACTGCTGCTTGGCATGACTGCTGTTCTGATGTAATACTAAAATATTCATACTTGGTATCAGCACTATCAGAGCGTGAGCGCAACTTTATTTAAAATGATTTATGGTCTTGGCACAGAACTGACTTCACTTAGCAATATGACCCCGACTGCTGAGATCCACAGCTGGGATAAATTTACTGCGCTTTTTAAGAGCTGGATATGATAACAGGAACTAAAGATGACTTGAATGCAGTGTAACATAAAACAATTCTGCATTGGGATGTAAACTCTTTCAGAGTGGTCTGATGTAAAACTGGAGAACTTTACAACAAAAATATAACCATTTTATTTACTATCCAAAACCAACACTGAACTTCAGAGGCTATTTTGCCTCCAACTACGACTGAACGATTTTGGCAAAATATCTAATTGCGATTTTTCTGACCAGTTTTGCGATTTCGATTTATATTACACTTGTATTCAATGAATTGTTTTCTATAAACTGAGGTATGGGCCTTTTTTTGAAGCTAAGAAGACTCCAACTAGGACTTAAGAATTTTGGCAAAAAATCTAATTGCGATTTTTCTGACCAGTACTGCGATTTCAATTTAAACTGCAATTGTTTTCTATAGATTGTTTTCTATAAACTGAGGTATGGGCCTTTTTTTCTAGCTAAGAAAACTCCAACTAGGACTTAATGATTTTGCCAAAATATCTAATTGCGATTTTTCTGACCAGTACTGCGATTTCAATTTAAACTGCAATTGTTTTCTATAGATTGTTTTCTATAAACTGAGGTATGGGCCTTTTTTTTTTTTTAGCCACAAAAAAATCAGCGTATATTTTTTCAGGCTTGAGGCTCAAACAGTGCACCCATCTGCCTGTGGTTGTGGCGTCACAGTTTGGTTGCTTCTGATCAGTCAAATTCATCTAAAAGCAGTTCACAAGCTCAACGTCATGTTGGTTACATATCCATGTTGACTATAATAAAAATTGCAATTTTTCAAATTGCAATTACGATATAAAAACGATTAATCTTTCAGCCCTGCTTCCAACGCCTCCATGTGCCTCAAAACCTTCTCAAAACTATCATAAAAGTGTCTCAGTCATCAGACAGTGAATTCATAACCATTTCATGTAATAACTTTTTGTGAGGGAGCTTTTAGAGGTGGACGTCTGGTTCCTATCACCATAATTCTGACTTAGTAAGTTTCTCTAGAACAAGGGTTTCACACCAAACCACTCTTTAACATTTAATAACAAAGCGAATGTCCCCTTTAATAATTGACTTAACAGTGGTTTCCATTCCCACTCTTGGAAACTACACAGTGTACAGTTTGGTGTTTTGCCTACTGTAGCACACCTGATTCAACTCATCAGCTAATTATTAAGCCATCCTTGAGCTGAGTTAGTGCAGAACTGTGCAAAAAAAGGTGCAATGCATGGGCTCCCCATGGACTGCAACTGAGAAGCAACAGTTACTACCTACCTGATAAAATTGCTAGTACTGTTGCTTCACTATACGGCAATATATTTACAAAAAAGGGGACAATTTCCGCTTCTAAATAGCTATCTCGGGACCAGGGTGCCCAAATCTAACAGTTAAGGCCACTGCCTTGGGCCCAGTTTCCTAAAAACCTTGTAGTATTAGCCGGTAGAGAGATGCTCGCTCTACCATTTAACAATGATCTTTGTGATAACGTGGTTTTGGGAAATCCAGCTTTCTGCAGTTGGGTTTCTTTATTTGATTCCATTGGTCAGCTTACCGTCATGAGGTATTTCAGAATAAAAAACAATGAACCAGCAAGTGCTGTAGGCTTCTCTGGCCTTCCAGCACAGAATTTACACACTAGTTTGAAGGACTATTGCTAGTCCTGGACTACACAGCTTTCTATATGGAGGTTTTCTTCAAAGGAAAACGTAGTCCAGGACTAGCTTAATCACCGTCTGGGAAACCAACCCTAAATCAAGGGCATCAAGAAGAAATCTTACCCAGTTCAAGTCCATCCTCTTCGTTCTGATGCTACTAGGCAGGGAGATGTTTCCAGGTGCTAACGAACGCAGTGGGAATCAGTGAATAAGGCACTGTAGTGATACTGTTCCAGCTGTCCGAGGTCGGATCGTAGCAGTCCAGCGTTTTGCACCGCTGTGTCCCAAAGTAGCCACCAACCACATAGAGTTTGTTACCAGAGGCCACAGCGTGGCAGCTCATTCGTTTAGAGGTCATGTCGCCTACCCGCGTCCATAGATTTGTCTCACAGTCGAAGCGGTAAGCGGAAGCGGCGGTGAACTCCGTGTCACCACCCATGATGAAAATCTGGCTGCCCAAGACTGCTGCGGCGGTGTATCGCCAGGGCTGAGGGCACTCTGCCGCTATGGTCCAGCGGTTCTCTACAGGGTCATAGCACTGGACTTTGGAAGCCTTGTCCCTGTGGATGGTAGTCCCACCAAAAACAAAGAGCTTTAGCTTAGCACTGACAACCGCCGCATTGCTGACACCATCTCGGAGCGGTGCCATCATGGTCCATTTGTTGGTTAGTGGGTCATACCGTTCCACTTGCTTTAGAGACACTGAAGGAGAAGCAGGGAAAACACCAGCTATTGCAGTGTGACCTCCTACAACGTAGAGGCAGTTTTCCAACTCGGCCGAACCATGACCGAACCGCGCAATTAACATGGGGGCACCTTTGGACCACTCCTCGTGGACCGTATCATATATCCATACGTCTTTTGAGACTCCGTTTTCCGAGCCTCTCCCTCCAGTCACGTAAACCTTGCAGCCAATGGCACACGCGCTGAACTCCTTCCTAGGACTGGGCAAGTCCGACTTGGGAATGATTTCCTTCGCTTTATGATCCACTTGGTAGATCTTATCACACATGAAGGTCTGGCCCCCAAGAATGAGCAAAGTGTGGCCAGCCTTGCGTGGCCTGGCACAAGGACTGGTGACGACTCCATCGTTCTGGAGAATCTTCTTCTTGCACTGAATGGCCTCTTCCACTATCTGCCTGCTTCGCTTGTCTGACATGACCAGTTCCTCGCAAGCCACGGCCTCGATGAGGCACTCGGATGGTAACAGCGCAAGACGGATACCCCGGAGCAGCTCGGGAAGGTAGTCCCTGCGACTGTCTAAGTCATACTTTACCCAGCGCATGACTGCATTGAACACAATCTGCTCGTCCTCTATCTCCAGCTCGTCGCTGAGGATAAGGTCCAGCAGCTTGTCTTTAGACAAGCCATAGAAGTCCTCCGTGTCCCTCACAGCTTCAAAGTGGACCAGACACATCCTCCACGAGAGTTCATAGAGGCGCTTGCACTGGTGGGCGTCGGAGAGCAGCATCATTCCCAAACAGTTGGACGAATGCAGGTTCTTTTCGAGGAACTCTCGCCGCCGCATCACGGATGTCGTGGAACTGTAGCATATCTCCGGCTTCGAGAAGCGACTCTGCGTTCTCCTCGTTAATGATAACCCGTGAGGAGTATGCAAAGTCCAACAGTAGCTCCAGAACCTCTGGGTGCACACTGTCCCGGAAGTTAACGTCACTGTCCAGACTCTCACGGAGGCCTCCACTGAACATTGCCTCGAAGTAGCGGCTGCACGCTGCCAACACTGCCCTGTGGCAGGGGAAGGAGCGGTCTCCGGCCCATAACGTCACGTCCGTGAACATGCACTGTTTGCGAAGGGTGTTGAGGTGCGTGAGGACGCTGTCTGGATGCGAGGGCTTGTGGAAGAGGGAGATGTTCATGGAGCCCGTGCTCGTCCTTGACTTGCGGTTTTCATGGACGCTGACTGACATTTTTTCTGGCACCTCCAAGGACTCAGCTGTGCCAATATGTTGAACTGGAGAAAAGGATAAAAGGTACAGGTTAGTTGATTATATAGGGATTCTTATTGAGTTATAATTATGCACAGCTTGGTTGTATGTAGTAACGTAGAGAAAAGTGACAGAAAAAACAAACAAAACAACCCACAACAAAACAATAACAACTCAAACTACTGTTTCTCGTTAATTCATGTTATTAACTGAACAGAATAAAAGCTTGTGGTGGGCAATATGACAATAGTTTATCGTCTCATGATAAATGACAATGCCATAAGAGGGGTTTTCTGAGCATGTTTAATTAAAAACATCAAAATAGGAGAATAATCAGTCCAATTTAACTGGATTTTAGGAATGAAAGGATACAGGAATTGTAGGCGACATCACATTTACAAAGTGACTAAACCCACCGAGATTTGCAATGTGGGGGGGGGGTAGTCATGGGCTGGAGGTTAGGGAACCAGCCCTGTGACCGGAAGGTTGCCGGTTTGATCCTCTAAGCCGACGGTATGTGACTGAAGTGCCCCTGAGCAAGACACCTAACCCCCAACTGCTCCCTGGGAGCTGTGGATAGGGCTGTCCACCGCCCTGGCAAGTGTGCTCACTGTACACACAGTATTTGAAACTTTACACAAAAGTTACTGTATTTGTAGTTTTGATAGCATTTTATTAAATCCAATTAATTTTAAAACCTCAGACAAAAATAAAGACATGACATTGATACACCGATCAGGCATAACATTATGACCACCTCCTTGTTTCTGCGCTCATTGTCCATTTTATCAGCTCCACTTACTATATAGGTGCACTTTGTAGTTCTACAGTTACAGACTGTAGTCCATCTGTTTCTCTGATACTTTGTTAGCCCCCTTTTACCCTGTTCTTCAGTGGTCAGGACCCCCATGGACCCTCACGGAGCAGGTACTATTTGGGTGGTGGATCATTCTCAGCACTGCAGTAACACTGATGTAGTGGTGGTGGTGTGTTAGTGTGTGTTGTGCTGGTCTGAGTGGATCAGACACAGCAGTGCTGCTGGAGTTTTTAAACACTGTCCACTCTCTGTCCACTCTATTAGACACTCCTACCTTGTCAGTCCACCTTGTAGATGTAAAGTCAGAGACGATAGCTCATCTGCTGCTGCACAGTTTGTGTTGGTCGTCCTCTAGTCCTTCATCAGTGGTCACAGGACGCTGCCCACAGGACGCTGCCCACAGGACGCTGTTGGCTGGATATTTTCGGTTGGTGGACTATTCTCAGTCCAGCAGTGACACTGAGGTGTTTAAAAACTCCAGCAGCACTGCTGTGTCTGATCCACTCATACCAGTGCAACACACACTAGCACATCACCACCACATCAGTGTTACTGCAGTGCTGAGAATGATCCACCACCCAAATAGTACCTGCTCTGTGAGGGTCCATGGGGGTCCTGACCACTGAAGAACAGGGTAAAAGGGGGCTAACAAAGTATCAGAGAAACAGATGGACTACAGTCTGTAACTGTAGAACTACAAAGTGCACCTATATAGTAAGTGGAGCTGATAAAATGGACAATGAGTGTAGAAACAAGGAGGTGGTCATAATGTTATGCCTGATTGGTGTATAATCACCCAAAAAGTATCATGATTTTGTATTGATGTCATATCACCCGCCCCTAAACAGAGCCCAAATTCAAAATCTAACATCATCTACTGCATCACCATTTCACAGTGATATGGCACATTTCTTTGAGAGCTTTGCTGATATCAGGGTCTCTTTTTATAGTCAGAGTTTAGTCAGCCAACAACAAATTAAGAGTTAAATTAATCAGCTCACACTCCATAAATCATATGTGGTGCGTTGGCTGAGTCTATTAAATTTAAGAGTAGAATGAGACCAGAATGTCTGCCAAGCTCTGACTCATTGATCCATGCAGTGTTTAACAAACATAGCTTAAACTGCGCTGTAGGAAGCCCATACTGATGAGCATCTGCAAAATAACTCTTCAAAAGCCCACGACGGATCACTGAATGCCTTTTTGATCCTTTTAACAACCTCACATTAGCTAATTCCACAGGCTTTTGTAGTCCAAACTGCAGCCTACTTACTGAGTCAGTGCCTACTAGCACACGTTAGGCTATTATCCTTGCTTAGTGGTCTAGATACATACAGCGTTCCCCTTCACCACTTTGCGTACAGCCAAAGGTGAGTGGAGAGAGGCTCTGCTTTTTAGAAAAATATTTGCAATTCAAATTGTGCACGAAATACTTCAGCATCCGTTCAGGTTTTTAAAATGCAAATGCTCTGACACTGGAGCCGGGCTTCGAATTCAGAGCAAATATCGCCGTCAGCTGAAAGGAAACAACAAAAGAGGAAAGCTAATGTTTCAGCAACCGGTGTTTGTGGCGAGTCGTGGACTCATTGTGCCGTGCGTACATGCTGGAGTCATTAATCGACGGCTTTTGGAGCGTTCGATGATGATCCAAAGGGGTGCAGGCATGCAGACATCAACAGGGGTCTATGGATCTCGCTGCTGCTTTAACAAGCACAACAATGCCGGAGGTCAGCCACAAAATAAAGCAGGTCACAGAAAAGCCATGCACGAGGGAATGCAGGGGGGGAGGCGTCGGAGGGAGCTTGATGCGGGGCTACGGAAGGATGAATCAGCCCACTGAAAAAAAGTGATGCATTGAGTTTACTTGATTCAAATATGTGCATTATTTCCACATGAATGTGATAAACTGCATTTCTTTTTTTTCGAGGCCCAAATCCAATTTTTTTCTTCATATGTGACACAGATAAACACAATGAATCTGATATTTTCAATTCTGATTTGAGACGCTTTCGTATGTGGTACTGAAATCCGATAAGTATCCGATCTGCGGCGATGTGACTCAGTCTGAACAGCCAGATCGGGATACATGCGACTTTTACGTCAATCCAACTCAACATTCGTCATAATTTTGCATTGCTGAGACCCATTTTTCCATAAATCTGAGCTACAATCTGGACCTCAGGTGGCGTCTCTTCAGTGATCTGCTCTGTACAAAAATTATTATTTTCATAAAAATACAAAGAGCGTCTAAGATTTTTGACTTTCAGCAGTAAACTGTAAGCATATAGCAACATGTGTATGATCATAAAAGTGGATTCATAGTTTTTGATAGTATTCTTAAAGTGTGGGACTAATTTGTCCGTTCAAACTTATCAGACGTCAGAAAAAATAAATATCGTGACACATCATGTATCATATATAAAAAGCTTCATAAGTTCAGAAGCTGTGTTATTACATTAAATTAGACAATGTTAGTGATTAATTCACAGCTCTTGCTATTTGAAAACTGATTTTGATATAAAAACAATATAATATTTTTAACAATCTTTATAAATACAAAGATAACGACCGCTGAAGTTGTGTCGTCATTCTGTAGTCGTCATCATTCACATTAGCAACTCCGGGTCTAAGCTGGATGAGCCTATGACAAAAATGAAGGGCCATCGGTGGCGTTTGGGATGCACCAGTACCTGAGGAACTTTTTGCAGTAACTGTGTTGGTGTAATATGGTAGCCACTGATATACGTGGTGATTCAAAAAGATTTATCCGACTTCAAAGCGCCATATTTTTGCAGCCGTGAGGTGCCGAGGAACCAATCACAATCCAACTGAAAAAGGGGGTCATAGAGTTTCTGAAGATGGCTCCCTTCAGTCTAAGAGGAGATGAGACCCCTGAACAGAAAGCGTTTTGCGTTCTCCACTTCAATAAGAGTGAATCCATCATAACTGCACCGTGATTTTCGTGGGCAGTGAAGCTCCAACAGCTTTTTTTCTACTGAAAGTCGACCCATTTTTCCACAAATCTGGGCTATAAACTATAAACAGATGGCGTCTCTCTCAGTGATCTGCTCTGTACAAATTAGTTTTTTTAAAAAAATACAAAGAGCATCTAAGATTTTTGGTTTTGCAGCAGTAAATTGTAAGCATATAGCAATATGTGTGTATGACCATAAAACACATGTTCTGTTAATTTGAGGGGAGCTTTTAAAATAAAAAAATGAAAAAAATAAAATAAAAATTCACATTTATTTCATGCAGTTACTGAATCATTTGCCTTACGATTTGGTCATGTAAATTCAGATGGACAAACCAAAATATACCCTGGTCAATAAGAGGTTAAACTATTTACAGTTTACTGCATTGTTCTGTAATGATTTACATGTGAAATAAATCATTTTCAAATCGAATGAATCTTCTTGAATCACTCTGTATTCCACTCACGTGGAAATCATGTACACATTTGAATCAAGTGAATTCAATGCATTCCCAGTGTGGAAGTGAGCGCGTGTCCAGAAAACACTTACAGTGACAGAATCTGCTGACCCACGCGCAGGCACTGACAGAGAAGATCTGAGGTGGGGTCTGCATCGGTCCCAGAACACACCCCCTCTGCAGGCCAGGCTGAGAGAGCGCTCCTCTACACGACAGCAGGGGGACAGAAGAGTGGCACAGAAACAGCGACGTGAGACTTTAATCCACATCCCTCCCCAAAACACTGTGGTCCAGGTTTGTGGCCGTGGTTTAAGCCCAGTCTTAGATTAAACTGCAATATCAACGGGGTTTCACCATTAAAAACCCCATTTAGTCTACGTTTCGGCTTCAGCTTGAAGTTACGGTGTTACCGCAATAACGCCTCTCAATAGCCACGTTTACATGCAGCCTGATAATCTGTAAATAATCTGACTAATAGCTCAATCGGAATAGAATACGTCCATGTAAACACTTTAGTCGGAATAGTCTAGTCCGATTAAGGCCATTTAGAATAAAGTTTCTATCCGACTGATCGAGGTGGGTAATCCTGTAAATAATCAGTTAAACAGAAGAATAATATCCGTGTAAACGCCTGTATCTGATTACATTCCCTATCGGAAAGTTTAAGTCCGTTCTGATCATGTTCGTCACGTCATAGTGAGAGTTTATACCGTTCAACATGGCGGAGCAGAAACTGGTCTGCAGAGGAGACGAAGTTTATGCTCTGGTCTTTAAAAGACGGCGGTGGGACGGACGTCCAGCTTATGTGTCTCAGAACACGACGTCTTCCTCTCGGCCTTCTTTAATAAGGACATGTGAAGGACGTTTGTGAGTATAGATAATAACACATGGATTAAAAAAAAACAGAACCTTTTTAAAACAAGTTCTATATAGCACTCAAAAGGGTTCTTCTATTGTTACATGCTTGACATCATAATAATAGAACTCTTTTTGATGCTATATATATAACTCTTTTCAAAAAGGTTCTACGTAGAACCATCTAGAGCACATCTTCCATCAATCTGAAGAAGTCTTTAATCATGCAAAGGGTTCTTTGAGTGTTCATGGCTCTATCTAGACCCATTTTCTTTACCAAAGAACCTTTGAAGAACCATCTTTTTTTAAGAGTGTATGATAGAATCTTTACACTGCACTCAACTTTTACAACGTTCCTCACACTTAAACACCAATTGAAAGGTAAGATGTGTGGTTCTAGGAAAAACCTTTGATATAGAACCTTTACATTATGTACAGCTTCTTTTATCTTTAAAAATGTTGCTCATACGTTCACACCTCATTTACAACAAAAAAAAAAGATTCTTTAAAGAACCAACCACAGAAAACCACTGGAGGTTTGGAAAAAATGATATGGAAACTTTACATTATATGGGGCTTCTTTTAACTTTAAAAAAGTTCCTCATATGTTCACGTCATTTAGAGAGACTGGTTCTTAAAGAACCACCCAGTGAAATGCTGAACGAAAGATTCTAGGTAAAAAAGACTTGGTATAGAAAGTTTACATTATGTGGAGCTTCATTAAACTTTAAAAACGTTCCTCACACTCGAACATCTCAATTACAAAAAAGGTTATTGAAAAACTTCTGATACAGAACCTTTACATTACATGGATCTTCTTTTCATCTACAAATGAAAATCAGACTTGCACATTTCGCTTACAATACATGGTTCTTTAAAGAAATATCCGCTAAAGTTTGGATATACAGTTCTAGGAAAAACCTCCAATATAGAAACTTTACAGGCAGTGAAAAAAATTCATCACACTCAAACAAGACTTACAAAAAACGCTCTTTAAAAAACTGAAAGCTGGGAACGTTTCTATGAAAAAAAAATAATTTCCTTAAAGAAGCATCCAGTGAAAGTTCGGATGGTTCTAGGAAAAAATTAAAATCACTTTTCTTTAAAGAACCATTCACTGAAAGTTGGGACATATGGTTCTAGGAAAAACCTGCTGATTTCTTTGAAGGAGCATCCAAAGTTGGGACATACGGTTCTAGGAAAAACTCACTGATTTCTTTGAAGATGCATCCACTGAAAGTTCAGATGGTTCTAGGAAAAAATAAAAAATACATTTCTTTAAAGAACCATTCACGGAAAGTTGGGACATATGGTTCTAGGAAAAACCCACTGATTTCTTTGAAGACACATCCACTGAAAGTTCAGATGGTTCTAGCAAAAAATAAAAATTACATTTCTTTAAAGAACCATTCACGGAAAGTTGGGACATATGGTTCTACGAAAAACTCACTAATTTCTTTAAAGAACCATTCATTGAAAGTTGAGACGGTTCTAGGAAAAACTCACATTTCTTTAAAAAGCGTCCACTGAAAGGTTCTTTAGGGAACCGAAAGTGTTCTTGAGTGCTCTCCTGCTGTAAAATGAGACAGCGGGGAATAAAATGGCAGCGTGACAGTTTTTCGCGGGCTGATAAAGAGTTCCTCCGCCGTTCATCCCATCGCCCGCGGCAACCGTCACTCAACAACAGCGCCGCCAATGCCAAAGTTGCTGAATCACTGAATGCAAACAACCGGCCTATCTGTGCGCCCGTCGCCGTCGGCATGAATGACACCTTTTAACTGCAACGCCACCGAGAAGCAGCGGCACAAAGGTCCTCCTTCCGCTGAACGTTCTGCCTTTGTCGACACCTCTTCTCCTCTGACTGATAGCCCTTCCAGGTTCTTTTCACTCCGAGTGTTGGTATTCCAGAGCTCCTCCACTTCAGCTGCGGAGAAGGGAGGGAGGGAAGGAGGGGGGAGAGGGACTTTTCTTCTCCAAGCCAGAGTCAAAAGCTGGCAACCTTTCTGTGTTTACAACGTTCAGTGGATCACCAGCTGGCAGGCAGTCTGTCTGAACGCTGAAGAACTTCTATCAGCTCAGAAAAAAGGGACAGAACCGGGTGGCGAATCAGCGCAAGGCCGACGCCTGCGAGACCGAGCTGTTGGCGTCACAATGGACGAAACCGATCCGCTCTAAAAGAGCGCCAGAGAGAGACAGAGCGACGCAAGAGACGTTCTGGCAAAGACGAGGCTCGCTGTGCACGTTAGGGCCGCAGACACAATATTGTAGGCTGTGAAATAAGCCGGTAAACTGCGACGCTGCATCCTGTATGGTTATTCTAGAGAGAATAACAGCGACGACAGCAGACTAGTGATGCACCGATCCAACATAATGGACCTTATTAAGAACAAATTCCACTGTTGTTTAACATTTCTGCTTAATTCAGTGGCTGAAATGTCATTCGGAGTGGTTCGGTGAGAAATGGTTCAGATGTCTATACAGTGGTGGTGATAGGAACCAGGGGTCGCCATGACTACAACACAAATATAGACATTTTATTTACTATCCAGAACCACCAGTGAACCTACACGAGTCTTCAGAGTTTATATGGAATGTTGATGATGGTTAAAGAGTGATAAATCTGAAATAATAAGTTTTCTTTGGGGACTATTTTGCCTCACAGCGCCCTGCATGTATCCCTCCACAATGAATGGACTGAAATAAATGGATTAAAATACATTTCAAGGCAAAAACCTATCACACAACTATCGTAGAACAGTGCGTCAGACATCAGGCAGCAGATATCTAACTATTTCATGTAGTAACTTTCTGTGAGGGAGCTTTTAGAGGTGGACGTCTGGTTCCTATCACCACCACTGTGAACAGTTCTGACTCGGTAAGTTTCTCTAGAACGGAGCGTTTCACACCAAACCACTCTGAACGGCTCTGTTTATATCTTAACCATTTAATTATGTAGAATTTTTGAAAATCGTTGGAGGTCTTACTAACAAGACTAGCATCACAATATTTAGTTTCGCTGAGATTTTCTAAGTTGGAACAGACCAAAAATTTCAATGGTGCAACATTTTAGCAATACTAAGATCAATTAAACAGGACTAATTATGCTCTCTTTGCATCCTGTACGTTTATTCAAGAAAGAATAACAGCAACAACAGCGACTAGTGATGCACCGATCCAACATAATGGACCTTAAAATGGCCAGTTTTATTACACACTTCTATAACCTAAGAACACACTCTTAAAACGCCTAAGTCTTCAAGGGTTCTTTAGCTAAGCAAATGGTTCTACATAGAACTATGAACACTCAAAGAACCAGCTGCATGGTGAAATGGTTCTTCAGATTGATGGAGAATGTGCTGTAGATGGCTTTTGAAACAGGTTCTATATAGCACCACAAAGAGTTCTGCTATTGTTAGAATATCAAGCTTGTTTTAAAAGAAGAACCCTTTTTGGTGCCTTTTCAGAACCATATACAACACATTCTCCATCAATCTACAATACAGTGTAGATATACACCGATCAGGCATAACATTCTGACCACCTCCTTGTTTCTGCACTCACTGTCCAGTTTATCAGCTCCACTTACTATATAGGTGCACTTTGTAGTTCTACAGTTACAGACTGTAGTCCATCTGTTTCTCTGATACTTTGTTAGCCCCCTTTTACCCTGTTCTTCAGTGGTCAGGACCCCCATGGACCCTCACAGAGCAGGTACTATTTGGGTGGTGGATCATTCTCAGCACTGCAGTAACACTGACGTGGTGGTGGTGTGTTAGTGTGTGTTGTGCTGGTCTGAGTGGATCAGACACAGCAGTGCTGCTGGAGTTTTTAAACACCTCAGTGTCACTGCTGGACTGAGAATAGTCCACCAACCAAAAATATCCAGCCAACAGCGTCCTGTGACCACTGATGAAGGACTAGAGGATGACCGACACAAACTGTGCAGCAGCAGATGAGCTATCGTCTCTGACTTTACATCTACAAGGTGGACTGAGAAGGTAGGAGTGTCTAATAGAGTGGACAGTGAGTGGACACAGTGTTTAAAAACTCCAGCAGCACTGCTGTGTCTGGTCCACTTGCACCAGCGCAACACACACACTAACATACCACCACCACGTCAGTGTTACTGCAGTCACCCCACTTCCCCATAGTCCAAATAGGGCTTTAGTCTAAAACCTTCTCACAACTATCGTAACGCAATGTTTACGACATCAGGCAGTGAATTCATAACCATTTCATGTAGTAATTTTCTGTGCGGGAGCTTTTAGAGGTGGACGTCTGGTTCCTATCACCACCATTGTGCACTATTTGCAGCCCTAGTGTCTCTAGGACGGAGCATTTCACACCAAACACATTTACGTATTAAGAAATTCTAAAAAATCTGTGGAATTCCCCTTTATGATGAATAAATGAGTAACACACCCAAAGATCAAGAGGTTAAAGCAGGTGCAGATATTAACATACACTACACTGTACAGCGCCTAACCTAGGGAGTTAAATCAGTGTCACCAGAACTTGAACCCGGATTCTTGACGCTGAGCCTGAATTCGTGATTCTGAACCTGAATTTGTGATTCTGAACCTGAATTTGTGATTCTGAACCTGAATTCATGAATCTGAACCTGAATTTGTGACTCTGAACCTGAATTTGTGATTCTGAACCAGAATTTCTGATTCTAAACTTGAATTTATGACACTGATCCTGAATTTGTGATTCTGAACCTGAACTCGTGACTCTGAACCTGAACTCGTGACTCTGAACCTGAATTTGTGAATCTGAACCTGAATTCGTGATTCCGAACCTGAATTTGTGACACGTCTGAATTTTGACATGAACTGATTTGTGACATGATCTGATTTTGACACTTGAATTTGTGATGATCTGAATGTGTATTCTGAACTGAATGTGACTTGAACTGATTTGTGATCTGAACCTGAATTTTGATTCTAAACTGATTATGACACTGAATCTGAATGTGTGATTCTGAACCTGAACTCGTGACTCTGAACCTGAATTTGTGACACTGAATCTGAATGTGTGATTCTGAACTTGAATTAGTGACTCTGAACCTGAATTAGTGACTCTGAACCTGAATTCCTGATTCTTTTTCAGGTTGAGAAATTCAGATGGTAAAATCAGATCTGGAAATTCAGGGAAACATCCGGGATACTCAAGCGTAGATGTTATCAAACTCACACCTGGCCAATCACTAAATATCTCTGGAAGGGGCTTCTTTGTCACCGAGTACAGTGCTGACGAGGGACCACGGCAGAAGAATAAGCCAGTGGAACGTTTCCAATTGTAAGTCGCTTATTCTTCCTTCTCTTTGTATCAGCTCACATCAGATACTAGCATTTGTTGTTTTATTGGTTGTTCATACAAATATAAGCTGATGCTTGATTTCTTATAATACAGCGTGATTCAAAAAGATTCATCTGATTCCAAAATGATTTATTTCACTTGTAAATCATTACAGATCAATGCAGTAAACTGTAAATGGTTTAAATGAGCATAAAATTTATTATATAATTGTACAAGGTCTCAGTATGAACCTCCTCCAGCTGTACAGACAACATCAACGCCATAGTCAAACTCATCCCATACTGGATTGAGCATGTCGGGTGTCGCTGCACTCACGGCTCTTTCAGTGCGATTTCGGAGATCATCCAGTGTTGTGGAACCAACGCCGAAAGCTCTGAGCTGCTGGAGCTTCACTGCTGATGAAAATCACGCTGCACAGTTATGACGGATTCACTCTTATTGAAGTGGAGAACGCAGAACGCTTTCTGCTCAGGGGTCTCATCTCCTCTCAGACTGAAGGGAGCCATCTTCCACTGACAGTTAGAAACTCTATGACCCCCTCTTTCAGTTGGATTGTGATTGGTTCCTCGGCGCCTCACGGTTGTAAAATTATGGTCCTTTGAAATCGGATTAATCTTTTTGAATCACCCTGTATAATACGTGATTTGATTACATCTATGCTTGTTTGCTCTTCCTGAGTACCCCAAGTGTTTCCCTGTGTTTCTCGACCTGAATTTTACAACCTGAATATCCAGACCTGAATTTCACAGCCTGAATTTTACAACCTGAATATCCAGACCTGAATTTTACAGCCTGAATATCCAGACCTAAATATCCAGACCTGAATATCCAGATCTGAATTTCACAACATGAATTTTACAACCTGAATTTCTCGACCTGAATTTCACAATCTGAATATCCAGACCTGAAAAAGCATTGTCAGCATCACAAATTCAGGTCCAGACTGCTGAATTCAGGTTGAGAACCATGAATTCGGGTTCACGTTCTCGTGACACCGATTTAACTCCATGCTAAGCTGCGCTTCTGTTATCAGTGCCGTAACAAATGCCTTCCAGCCTCGGTTGATATGCATATTTATCCATTTCCCCATAAAACTCCCAACAGTGAGCTAAAAATAATCCGCAGCATTTCAGACTGGATGGCAACGGTTGTGTGATAACAAAGCGCAATGCCCAAATGGCCAAAACGCTGCTAGTCTAGTGTTGAATCAGACAATGTGCTGTTTCCTCTCTGTGTAATTACACATGTATAAGCAGCTTAGTGAGCAGAAATGCTTTTGTTGGCAGGAGCAGCTAATTAGCCATCAATCCTTATGGAGCGGATGAGAACCAAGAAAATGAGACTTCACCTCGGCTGTGTGGAAACCCTCCTGGATATTTCCTACAGACCTTGCGCCCGAGATACGGAACCGTGAACACACTGTGAATAAGTGAATAGTCTCCCTGTTCCAGGTCAGAATATTTACCTACGTACCAAAACAGTGCAATGACACGCAGAACCACATTCCTGTACATATTTACTACAGATAACCTGCCGAATGCATACAAGCGATGGCGTTTTCACCACTGGAAAATATATATAACCATGCACTCATAATAGTGAGAAAGTTCCCATAATTATGACTTAGCGAGCCAAAATTAGACGTTCAGTCATAATTATGCGATACGGAGTCATAATTATGAAACTATATTGAGATAGCAAGTCAAAATTGAGATCTCATAATAATATCACCTCATAATTATCACTTAGAATCTCATAATTGTGTCTTAATGATTTAATACCCAATAATTATGAATTAACGTATCATTATAATGACTTACTACGTCATAATTATGACTCACCAAGTCATAATTGAGATGATATTATAAGATAGCAAGTCAAAATTGAGATCTCATAATAATATCACCTCATAATTATGACTCAGTATTTCATAACTGTGTCTTAGTATCTTATGATAATGACTTAATACCTAATAATTATGACTTCACATCTAATTACAATTCACTATGTCATAATTATGACTTACTTTCTCATAAGTAGGTCAATAATAATGAGATCCCATCTCATATTTATGATTCGGTATCTCAATGATTTACCATCTCAATTATGCCTTAATATCTCATAATTATGACTCACAGTCTCATAATTACGAGAAAATTGTCTCATTATTACAAGATAGTAATTATTATGAGATATTCTGTCATAATTCGGAAACTCATTATTGAGTTACGATCTCACTATTACGAGATAGCAAGTCAAAGTATGGATAGTCAAAGTTGACACGATAAGTCATAATTATGAGGTATGAGAGAGCAAGTCAAAATTGAGATAGTATCTCATAATAATATCATTCCATAATTACGACTCCGTATCTCATAATTATGACTTTCTTTCTCATAATTTTGATTTGTTACCTCATATTAATGAAATCTTACTCTGCATTTCAATTATGTCTTAATATCTCATAAATATGAGAAAGCTGTCCAAATAGTTATTGAGATATTCAGTCATCATTATGAGAAACTATGCGATAGCAAGTCTTCATTATGAGACGGTAAGTCGTAGTTATGAGATCGTAAGTCATAATTATCACAGTGTAAATCATTATTGTGGGACAGGATCTCATTATTATGAGATAGCAAGTCAAAAATGAGATATTCAGTCATAATTACGGAAAACTTTCTCATTATTATGACTTACTAAATGACTGTATATTTTCCTTCAGTTGTTTCCATACGGTGCAGATGTATATCGCTATGTGGTGCTGTGAGGGTGACAGTAATTAAGTAAATTAAGTAAATAAACGACTAAATAAATGACATTAGTCCCTCACAGAGCTCGTGCTCACTTGTAGAGCCCCACTGAGCATCACCACTATCTTAGCCGTCCAGCTAACGTCGAAAACGAGCTACGAAGCCAAACTGCTGCGTTCAGCTGAGAGGTTTGTGATATTAATAAGCAGGAAAAGGTTATTTAATTCAATAAAAGCTTCCCTAACTTCACCCTGACCGGCTGCGCAGGTTTTCAGCTGGATTAGTCTGAGTGGCTAACGCTGCTAGCCTCAAACTGCATCAGAAACATGACTGAAAACTTGACTTTTTCTCAAGTTACGTCTTTAATAACCTAATTAAAAGTATTTGGACAAACGTGGGACGAATAAGAGCGGACAAGATGAAGTAAAACACGTATTTAACACTATTTTTTCGCTAGCTTTGCCAGCTAACTTTAAGTTCCCCCTCCAAAAAACACCGGAGACTCGACGAGGCTGAAGTCGGCTCCCTATTCGCCAGCTTTATGCCCGAATTTTCCCGTTCCACCTTAAATGGTACAGCGATTACGTTCCGGCGGCTCAGTCGGTTTCCTACTCGCCAGCTTCTTGTGCCAATTCTGCCATCCCACCTTAAATGGTGCAGCAGTTACGTTCTGCCGCCTCGGTCAGCTTCTCATTCGCCAGCGTCTTTCTTCGAACTTCCCCGGTCCACCTTAAATGGTACAGCGGGTACATTCTAGCGCCTCAGTCAGCGTCTTATTCGCAATCTTCTTGTACGAATTTCCCGTTCCACCTTAAGTAGTCCAGCATTTACACTCAGCCGTCTCCAGCCTCAGTGTAACTGCTGCACCACTTAAGGTGGACCGGGAGAATTCCACTTCGGCTTCGCGAAGACTCGTCAAAGTGGCTGCAAGATGTACCTCAAAGGAATGTAGTGTACTTACAGAATTACGGACAAATTCCAGTATGTCGCTACGAAGGGATCATAATTTTATTCCCGTGTTTTAAATCGACGATCTCGGCTTTAACTCGACTCTCCTCCGGCGCTCCAGTCCGAACAAACTGAACGAAAACAGAGATGTGGAGCCTTTATGTCCAAAAACAGGGGGCAGCGCCGTTAAAACGTGAGTGGCACGGGCTTCGACCAATCAGCGTCAGAGGAGCGTTATGTTAATAAGGGGAATACCCAATAGGAGTTTGGACATTTTAAAGCGAAGCCAATCGTCGCTCAGAGAGGGCGGGGTTTCGGTTGAGCAACAAAGAAAGGCGGTTTCTTACATTATACTATATTACATTATATTACATTATAGCATATTATATTATAATGCGATATATTATATTACAGAATATTGAATTATATTTATTGAACTGCATTATATTATATTATTTATTGATTTAAGTATTTTCAACAGCACAAATATCACCAGCATCACTCTCTCGCTTATTCTTTTATTCAGTTATTTAGTTTAATTAATTTTTTTCAGTATATTATAATTATTAGATAGCATTATGTTATTCCACTCAGTATTTTTAACATTACAATATCAACACCGGCACCGTAGGACGGTTTAGAGTGGTTTTCCCAGTGAAATAGAGACTTATCACGCCACCTAGAGGAGGAACACAGTGCTGCAGCCACAGTCCACTGATGGAAGCTCATGCTGTACTTTCAGTATTAACTCTGAGCTCTGTTTTGTGTTTGGGAAAAGTGTGTTTTTACTATAACTTGTCCCGAAATTAACTCCAAAATTGACCTGAAATGAATGCTTTTCACAGCATTTACAGTGTCCTAGCATAAATACAGCTGCAATAATTTTTGCACCTGAGTTTGCACGTTAAGTTAATAAATAACAAGTGAAATTAGTCTTTACGTGAGTTTATGTTCTCTTAATATATGTAACTTTTGTTTATTTCCCCTCAGAAATTAAACAGTTCTTTTTTTCTGACCTACAGTCCTGTATTCATACCATTTATATTGTAACTGCTGCTGTAACTACAACAGAATTTGCGTCTTAAAGGACAAACAAACAAATTGGTAAATAACAAATTAAGGTATTTTTAGATCAGTACGGAGCTCTGATGGTGACATCCTGTATAAATAAAAGTAATGTGTGGCCATGACTTAATAAGGCGTGGGAATGAGATAATTAAATCGTGGCCACAAATTAGTGATGCGTGGGAACGAGATAATTAATCCTTGACCTCAGCTTAGTAAGGCATGATCTCGTTCCCATACCTTACTAAGTCATGGCCATGCATTATTGTTATTTACACCGATCAGGCATAACATTCTGACCACCTCCTTGTTTCTACGCTCATTGTCCATTTTATCAGCTCCACTTACTATATAGGTGCACTTTGTAGTTCTACAGTTACAGACTGTAGTCCATCTGTTTCTCTGCATACTTTGTTAGCCCCCTTTTACCCTGTTCTTCAGTGGTCAGGACCCCCATGGACCCTCACAGAGCAGGTATTATTTGGGTGGTGGATCATTCTCAGCACTGCAGTAACGCTGACATGGTGGTGGTGTGTTGTGTTGGTCTGAGTGGATCAGACACAGCAGTGCTGCTGGAGTTTTTAAACACCTCAGTGTCACTGCTGGACTTAGATTAGTCCACCAACCAAAAATATCCAGCCAACAGCGTCCTGTGGGCAGCGTCCTGTGACCACTGATGAAGGACTAGAGGATGACCAACACAAACTGTGCAGCAGCAGATGAGCTATCGTCTCTGACTGTACATCTACAAGGTGGACTGACAAGGTAGGAGTGTCTAGTAGAGTGGACAGTGAGTGGACACAGTGTTTAAAAACTCCAGCAGCACTGCTGTGTCTGATCCACTTGCACCAGCGCAACACACACTAACACACCACCACCACGTCAGTGTTACTGCAGTGCTGAGAATGATCCACCACCCAAATAGTACCTGCTCTGTGAGGGTCCATGGGGGTCCTGACCACTGAAGAACAGGGTAAAAGAGGGCTAACAAAGTATATGTATATGGTATGTCACCAGCAGGGCTCTGTAGATCACTGTAATGTGTTTGTTTATTCATTTTTTAATTAACTCTGCGCTTTTTTAATGTTCTGGTTTAAATACAGCAGCAACGTAGAATTTGCATATTGAAGAAGGATGTGGTTTAGCATGCATGCATACTAATTTTGTGAAATATAAGGTTCCTCCAAATATTCCTCCAAAGTCCAATTCAACACAAACTAAACCGTATTTAGTAAAACGTGTGAGAGCATTGATTTTGCAGTATCTTGTTTCTAACTGTAAATCACATTATTGGATGGTAATATAACAACATAATGGTGATATTGCTGCATTTCAGCTCTGCATTATGCAGCAGTGGAGTTTTTAAATGCTTCTATGAGTCCCTGTGGCTTCATTTTACATCAGAGCTGTTGACGCTGATGAAATGCATCTCTCTGACCGAGTCAGTTGTGCTGGGCTTTGTTTCAGTCTGGCTGTATCTATGGGTTTGTAGGTCATTCCAGCTGGATCAGTACTCCATAGGATCAGGACGTCATTTCTTTTACAAGGCACAGCTATCCGTGCAATAAGAAACATTATACAACAGTTAGTTCTGACCACGCGAGCTGATTGGTTGAGAGGTGTTCTATCTGTGCTGTTATTTCACCATAACATCACGTTTTTTTCACAAACACTGTATCACTCCGCTGAGACGCCGTTGCTAAGCAACAACTTTGTCAGCTTTAGGAGATGCTCAAGCCATTGAACGTTTTTACTTCTTACTTTGCCACAAACAGAAAACGGACACTTTTAAGATCACATTTGACCGACAGCCGATTTGGTCAGACTCTGAAGATGAGACGACACTAAATTCCCAAACTGTCATCATCACTGAGCAGCTTTTCAGTCGGCAGCTGTGACAGAACAACAGCTAAACAACCTGGAATCAGCCAGAAATGAACCCAACACCATTCGCCAAACTAAATGGGCTGTAAGATGCTTTACAGACTGGCTGGAACAAAACAACATTAATACTGATCTGGCAAAAACTGACAAAACTGAGCTAAACTTGATATTGTGGCAGTTTTATGGCTCAGTCCGATTTGGTCAGACTCTGAAGATCAGACTACACGTTTGGCGAATGGTGTTGGGTTCATTTCTGGCTGATTCCAGGTTGTTTAGCTGTTCTTCTGTCACAGCTGCCAACTGAAAAGCTGCTCAGTGGTGATGACAGTTTGGGAATTTAGTGTAAGGAGCAGCGAGTGGGCGGAGCTCGTTACTCTGATGTAGCAACAAGCTGCTCGTTAAGGAACTATAATTTGGTTGAAGGAACTGCGAACATTAAAACATATTAAACGCCGCGTTCACGGCCCAGTTTATTAATTTATTACTTTATTTATTTAACTGTTGTATAAAAGCAATAGAACACTCGAGGAGTGTGTTATCGCCAAAAACATCACGGCTGTGATGATCTACGGCGACCAAATCACAGCCGTGATGTTATTTCGCAATAAAACACTCCCTCTCAGGTTCTACTGCTTAAATAAGCAAGAAACAGTACAATAAAAAAGGTTTCTATAGTTGTATAGTGTCCTGTAGTGAACTGTAGTGATTGTCTGAACATCACATAAGATTTAGTAGTACTCGAGCCTGGTCTCGGTCTCTAGGGGTGTTGGACTGCAGGTAATGATGGACTTGACTATCCAGGGCCCTCCCTGGATCAGGGGCCCTCCAAAAGACTCTTGCCGTATTACAAAAAACTTTTTTTTTTGTCTTAAGTTAAGACCTGATTGGTCAAGATAAGATTTTCCACAAATTTGTATTATAGACACAAATCTGATCTTAATTTAGGATTCGTACCTCGCAGCATCTCCAGTTGGGAAATCTTAACCTACACAATCGGAGTCGACAATCAACTGTCATGTCTGTTGCCTAGCAACTAACCATACGCACACAGCTGAAACGTAAACACATCATCAAAATAATGTTAAAAATGTAAAGCGTGATAAACTGTGAGTTGTGAATACTGTGAGAGCGCCCCCTGCTGTTTATCAGAGCGTCGCCGCTCCCCAGTTGCAGTCTCCATTTCCCAAACGCTTTAGCCGAGCGCGCTAACGTTACTCCTCCTAATAAACAGACACACATTCAGCTCCGTCTCCTCATTATTCACTCCATCACTGTAATATTTCATCATCAACATTAACACACGAAGGTGATCAGAGGGGCGGTGGAGATCGAGTCTGCAGCGTCTGAGATCTTTAAAACGCAGAGTTAGAAAAGAAAATCATCTCACAGTGAAAGCAGAGTTTTACAGTAGAAATAAATGGAGCTCATTATGCTGGTAGTGAACTGTGCTGCTGACACAGCTGCCTAAAAACCATAGAAACGGACCTTAAACGGAAGTGAGGACCCTGTTGGGGTTCATCCTAAAGTTAGGACAGGATTTAGGAGGTTTAGTCTAGTTAGGATGTTTGTGTGATGCTGTTTTCTTATCTGGGGTTAATGATGAGATCATGAAGTTAGGAACTGTGCTTCACCCCTGTCTGTCTCATCTCGCTCTCAACCTAATTGGGACTCGGTCCTGTCTCGGTCTTGGTTTAAGGTGGACTCAGAAATTGTTGTCCAGCTGAGTGTGATGCCTCCGTCTGAGGTAACTGGAAGCTGAATCATTACTGAATCAACAAAACCAGAATAATCAGGATAAATCAGTCCTTTTTCTGCATCAGGGGTTCACAAACTTCTGCAACTCACAACCAAAACAAACAACCACAAGAGCTTCAGAGGATTTAAGTGATCAGATCATCTGTTTCTGACTCTCCTAATGAGAAGCTGATTTGGCAGCTACTGGGTGCTGGATGTCAGGCTGAAGAGAGGAAAACTGCAGATGGAGTTTTCTGAGTCAGCTAAACAGGTTTAGATTCATATTCACAATAATAATAATGATTATATAATAATTATATCTAATAATAATGATAATAAGTATGTATAGTAATATATTTAATATATACATACATATACATTTAAATATTGAGGATCTTCAGCTGGGAGCTGCTTATCATTCTATCTAATAAGTTGTTGTAGTTTTGCTATGGTCTCCCATCATTAAAG